GCCCGCCACGGTAAATACAACGATTTACCGAGGCGGGCATTTTTTATTTACCGTGACGAACTTTTTTTGCCCGCCGTAGTAAATCAATTATCGCCCGCCATGGTAAATCGATTTACCGCTGCGGGCGCCTAAAGACGTCCCGCCACGGAAAATACCCTATTTACCGTGGCGGGCGTCTTAAGGCGCCCGCCACGATAAATCGATTTACCGCGGTGGACATTGTTTAAGGCCCGCCACGGAAAATCGGAGGCCCAATAGGCCCAAAGTGAGGCCCACAATTTCCGTCGTCATATATATACACGCACTAGGGTTTCACTCGCACTCCCGGCCAGCCCGCGCCTCCTCTCTCATCTCACTCTCTCACGCCGCGACTCCTCCTCCCGACTCCTCTCTCTCTCTCCTCCCCACTCTCTCGTCATGAGGCTCTCATCTCATTCTCCCCTCGCGCCTCCCTCCCCTCTCTCGCGTCCTGTAGGCCGGGCGCGCGTGACAAGATGACGAGAGGTGGCACGCGCCGTGAGTTAGCGGGGCAACGGCCTTAGATCGGGCGATGGCGCGCTTGGGGCAACGGCGGCGCTACCGGGCGATGGCACGTCGAACAACGGCGCGTGCTGGGAGACGGCGCGTCGGACGCGACGGCAGCATGCGGGTCAACGGCGCGGGGCTAGGGTTTCGGATCCGGTGGGCCAGCGGCGCGGAGGACGTCGATCCGAGGTAGGTGAGTTCATCTCCCTCTTCCTCTCCATCTCCCTCTTCCTCTCTCCATCTCCCTCACTCCTCCCTCTTCCTCTCTCCAGATCCGGCGGCGGCGACTTCCTCCTCCACGGATCATGGGACGGCAACAATGAGCCCGTCCTGAGGCGGATCTGGCCGGTGGCGGCGCGTGGTGATCGGATCCGGCCGGTGACGGCGTCCCGAGGCGGATCCGGTCGGTGGCGGCGTGCGGTGGCCGGATCCGGCAGGCGAGGACGGTTCGGTGCGGCGGCCTCCCTCCACCACGGCCACGACGCCGGGACCTCCACCACGGTCCCAAGACGCTGGGGCCCGGCCGGCTGCTCCTCTTCTCCCTCCCCGAGCGGCACGGAACTGCAGGCGTGGGAAGCCCGGATCCGTCGCCGGTGGGCTCGAGAACGGGCTCGACGGCGGGCTCCTGGTTTTTTTTGTTTTTTTAAAATGATTAACCGCAGCGAGCATCCTAACGTGCCCGCTGTGGTAAAAGTATATTTACCACGGCGGGCACGTTACACCGCCCGCCGCGGTAAATCGGTTAACCGCGGCGGGCAAGGCCGCCCGCCGCGGTTAAGCCACGATTTACCGTGGCCTCTAGGCCGCAGCGGACGGCTTTGCCCGCCATGGAAAACCAAAAACATCTGCCTCCAGTAAAGTTTGTGTAGTAGTGGCGGTTGTTTCCAGGAGAATCTAAAAGCAATTTAACTGCTGACAATCGCCGTATAATAGTGTTGGACTAGCGTGGCAATGGTCGGCTTAATACGGACACTGTTTAACTTATCCCGAGCCGTCCGTTCTCGTTGCCGATCAATCTGGACCGTCTGTTTGGCAACAAACCTAGAAGCGCCCTGCCCAATCCCAACTTCCCTCAGGTCCTGTCGGTGCCTTGACGGTGGTTCGACCAAATAAAAAACTCCAACATGAAACCATTAGTTCTCCCCACCCGTTGTTGCTCCATCTTTATTTTCCCCACTCGTTGCTTCATCTTCATTTTGACCCGTCGCCTGTACTTGCCCTGCCTCGAGCACCTTGCATTGTCGTCATGGACAATGCCCCATGAAGGTTAGATGGATTTGGTCACCCCCTGTTTGCATTTGGTTCCAATTGGTTTTGGGTTCGGTATCAGTTTTGTTCATATTAGAAATTCTTACTTCAGAAGAAGCCATTTCAATGCGAGCAACCTTGCATTTTGGCGGCTAGGGGTGGCACCAGGACCCCAGATGATGTTGTTTGCTACTTGGGGACGAAGCATTCACCCAGACTGACTTTTTGATTGTTGAAGCCGCTGTTCGTCACCTTCTCGGACCACAAAATTTGATCAGAATCGTTCAAGACCCTGTTTGTGGAGAGATTTTTGTGCTTTGCAGGACTTGACAGGAAGTATACATACTTTATAGATACAATGTGTCCATGGACGGAGATGCTATCATCTTCGCTACGGTTCACTACCTCTGGCTTTCGGGACTGCATCAACCAATTGAGTACCTTAGCAACTGCCTACCCATCCAACATTAAGTCTTAGAATTGGTGAAACTTTTATGTTAATGAAGTTTATATGTCCTGATGAAACCTCTAGATTAGAATGTATGAGTACTACATAATCGTTGAACTATTACTTCGGTTGAACTGTTAATTGAATCAGTTGGTCTTGATTATGGTCCACGTGTACACCTCTATGTAAGCACAGAGGATCCAAAACATGCCTTCTTCTACAGGCGGATAGTACTCTGAACCGACGCTGACACAACATTTCATCTTGGCGGGAGTGCGAGGGTTTTGAAGGACGTTTTGGTGTCTTGGTGAGAGGCAAAAGCATAAACAAAAGACCTAGGCCGACCTCTTCACTCAGAGTGTGCAACACTTTGATACCCTGACTGCTCCATGGCAGCATCTAGCTCCAACTCCTCCCAGTGGTTGGCACCATCCCAAGGTGTCATCGTGAGAAGAACACCAGCTTCCAGCGGAGGAGGCTACAACGGGAGGGGGCCGCCCATCCCATGCCATATCGAGAACCAACCCTATGCTACCAGCCACCACTTTTGTGTCGCTGCGGCTTGAAGATGCCACGGTGGATTTCATGGAGTGATGGAAACCTAGGATGTCAGTACCACAGATGCTGCAGACCAAATAATGTAACTCGATTTCTTTCTTGTTCATTATGTTTTCGCAATGCAAATGGTGAAATTCCGCTGTACTTATGGTAATTTGGTTTTTTCGTAGCCCGACTTAGATTGCGGGTTCTTTAAGTGGCACGATCCCCCAAATGGAAAATTTCTGAGGACTTTGATTTTAGATTTATGTAACAAGATTGGGAGCTGAAGGTGGAGGCCAATGTTACAACAAATGAAGAACATCTGCTGGAGGAGAAAGAGATTATGCCACAGATTGAAGAAATAACTAGGGTTCCAACGAAGATGATGAAAGATTTCGTACCTACACTGCTGGACGTAGGGCTTAAAATTTGGGTGCTCCTTAACACGAAGAACACCATTGTTGTAACCACCGATTTGGGTGCTCCTTAACACGAAGAACACTACACTGTTGGACGTAGGGCTTAAAATTGAAGCTCGAACCAGGATAGATCGTCGTGTCTCTCTTGTGTTTTTAAGTGCCCGAGACACCGGAGACCTACACATCGACTTCCAATGAACAACCACGATGCTCGCCGTGGTTACGAACCCGCGACAGTGGTGAAAATGGTTATCATCTTTGGTTTGTATTATGATCCAATGGTGAAAATCATTTTCATCAATGGTTTATATTACAAACCGATGGTAAAAATCAATTTTACCAACGGCACTATTCAAACCGGCGGTGAAAATGCTCTTGGTGAAAACGATTTCTTTTGTAGTGATATCATCCCGCATTTTGTTTGTGCATCAATGATGTGTTGATGGATGTGCAACATTCAAGCTAGCTACTTGCATCCGTGCTTGCCCTCTTAAAGAGAAACAATATGCTTTTCTAGGAAGGCTATATATCACTACCGGAAACTAAAATTTCCCTGTCGGTGCAAAACTGATAGGAAAATACAAAAACCAACAGAAAAAATAGAAAAATAATTTTCCTATCGGTATACTGATAGAACAAAGTGACAGAAATATAATTTTTTTGGTCGGTAGATGAATTTTTTGTTGGTAAACCAATTTTCTTATCAGTCATCAGGTCTCAAATTTTCATGGATTGCTTTTTTTTGTAATTTTTCTATGCGTATAGGAAAACCAACAAATAAATATAAGCACCAACAGAAAATTAGCAATTTTCGTGTATCTACTATTTATACTCTGTTGGTACGCAAGGAACACATAAAAAATTATCTTTTGTTCTGTCGGTTTCTTGATTTTTCTATCGGTAATCAGCCACCCACAGGGAAATTAGTATTTTTCTGTCGGTGGAGGTCATACCAACAGGAGAATACATTTTCAACTAGTATATATACATGTATTTTACGTGGAAACACCATATACTGGATAAAAGAAGAGCACTTTTATCGTTGTCAGAGCAGGCAAAAAGGATACCCGATGTAGGCGAACAAAGGACAAGATAACCCGACGAACGAAACTCAGCCTGATATTGTTCTTGGGACGACGACAAGCATGATCAATTAGATTGTAATAAAATAGTAATAAAGCACGATATCTTTTGATATGCCATTATGCCCCCGCCAATGACGGGATCGTTCATTAATATTAACAAGGGGAAATTCTCGTGGCCTGGATGTGTGGTGCGTGACCTGCTGCCTACTCGTTAAACATCCCCGTGAATTAATTTGTTTCTCGATATGGACGCATATTATTATATTTTATTATTTGTCCGGCGTCCATCTCAAAACATCCATGCAAATTCAAAGTGTTTTTGTCTTGTTGATGGCGCGAAAGCAACTTAATGTTCTTTTCTGGTGACTTTTCTTTGTCTGTTTACGATAGTGACGTACGTACGTACCACATTGGCATATTATTGTCGCACCTAGAGCAATCAAGCATGGGACGGAACAAATAGGTGCAGCTCTGCATCTTTTCATTTCGTAAAGCAAAATAGTTGAATTGGAATGAAAAAATGAAGCAATACAAAACCAGATAAATTAAATAGAGTTAAATGCATAAGTGGTCTATCAACTTGCGCCCTAGTTTTACTTAGGTCCATCAACTCTGAAAGTGAGTTTTTGGATCCATAATATTTGTTAGTGGCACATTCATAACCCATACCCCTTTGTTTCATTTTTTTAACCGTGGTTGTCCATCGTGACGTCCAGGTTGAATTTGGCCGGAGTTTTAGCGCCAGAATGGTTCAGGGGTTTTACCACTAAAGGTGAGGCCATAGGCGGAGACGACGCAGGTCTGGATGACGGTGTTCTCCTGTCGCGTAAAGGGCTGCTTCAGCAAGCCCATGCTCTCGATTGCTTTCGTCCAGAGGCGGACGAGGAAGAAGCCGAGAAGGCTAGCGGAGACGTTGAGCGAGGGGATGACGCCGGTGGTGAGATTCAGCTTCATTACCATGACGCTGAACAAGATGGCGAGGATGAACCCCACCACGAAGGCGCGCACCGTCAGCTGCTCCCGCCACGACGGCACGGGCTTGTCCGCGAACTCCTGCTCCACCGAGGCCACCACCACCTCCTCGGCATTGCCGCCCCCGTCGTCGTCGTCGTCCGCGCCCGCAAGCCCGCCGGCGTGGCGTCGCCGCAGCAGGCTGGCGCCTGACTCCAAGGCGTCGGCTCCCGCGTGGGCGGCAGGGTCGCCGGAAGCGCTGGCGGCGGCGGTGCCAGTCGCCATGGTGGTTGTCTAATGGTTCGTGATGGCTCGGTTGATGCTTGGTAATCGGCGTATTTATTGGAAGGCAGTTGGAATCCAGTTGCGTCACGATCAGGCTCCGGGATTCTGGTGGGCACTGGGCTGGCGCTGGTAACATGCAGTTGGCCACTTTGAGTTACGATAATTACTATACTAATTTACGAGATTATGGTAACTCCCTTATAAGTGATTTACTATAGCATTATAGTAAGTATCATCTTGAATTATAGTAACCCATATATCGTAAATGTGTATTGTCATTATCGTAAATTGGTACAAACATTATCGTAAATCAAGGTGGCCATAGAATAAGTTATTCTGTGGTCAGCTGTAGAATAGCCTTTTATATATATATATATATATATATGCATGGATTATTTAATTTTATTTATCGCATTATTATCGGAAGAATGGTATTATGCATGGTTGAGAAACTGAATCTGTTTCGATCGTCGCATTTGCATTTTTTGTTTTCTTATTTTGTCTCCTCATGGATCAGGTATAGAACTATATATGCAATTATTAATTTCGCACTATAATAGGTCATTGCATAGTTCAGCAGGAGGTCAACCCATGTTTTGGTTGTTGTCGACGACACTGGACAGCAGGACTATCTAAACTAGATCATACATTATTGGACTGGAAAATTTTACAAGAAAGAATTGGACAAAACTACCTTAGAGTAACTCCACTAACCAGTATATACTCGCTCCCAATAGTTAGATGTATTTAGAGATGCAAACGGATCAGATACGAACAATAGATATATATTATTGATATTGTATTTGTTTTCTTATTTCTATTCGGATTCAGATTCGAATACGGATATTGTCAACTATGTCGGATAGGATATGATTGTATATCGACGTCATAAATATGCGATTGAGTATTTGGAGATATAGAGATTTAATATTGGATCACTACTACACATATCATTTGTAGGGGCGGCTCATAATCGTTTGTAGGGACGGTTTGGCCAACCGCCCCTATGAAAGCGTGGCTACAAATGGCTGATTTATAGAGGTAATTTGCCAGCCGCCCTTATACAAATCGAATTTGTAGGGGCGGCTCAAGATTTGTAGGGGCAGCTGGATATAGAGCCGCCCCTACAAATCCATTTTCCAGAAATCACGAATCCGGGCCAAAAGAAATAGCAAAAAAAAAAAATCCCAGGAAGCCCCCACCAATCATATTTAGTTTATTTTGTGAAGCAAGTGTGCCAAACCAAAATTTGAAACTGACCAAATTAGTGCAACATGCAAATCATGAGGTGTTTTAGATTGTAGCCAAGCCAATTCCTTTATTCTTTTTTTGGAAATTCTATACCTTGACAATCCTTTCTTATTGATAAATAAAATCAGGAGAGAAATAATTAATTGTGTCTAGATTGCTACCATGCTAAACTTAGTGATAAAATTGGGAGACAAATAATCGGACCGGGTCCACATGTCATTGCATATTTTACTTGAAAACATATATAAAATATGTATCTTGTTGTTTCGTTGACAAAATCATATAGAATATCATGCTCCAAACAATTTTCCAATAGGAGGATACACATACTTTATGAGATATTATTGTTAGTAATCGGTTAAATTATAAACAATGGACTAGTGCTACTATTTCCCCGCTGCTATTGTCATAGCCTCTTCTATATATGTAGCCAGCCAATGCAAGCCAAAGTGTAACCAAGAAAATCCTCGTGTTGGCTGCCCTTATATTTGTCAACAATTATATTTGTTGTTGGCCAGGACCAAAATTTTCTGGGCCTAGCAAAATTTAAGCTAGAACCAACTGTGGCAGAACCTCCTAAATTATAGGGCCCACATGCACCTGTCACTGTCCGACGACCTTTGACATCTATGCATATGTTCCCGATAACTTAAGAAGACTGTCGGGTGTCCTCGGAGAACCCCGAATCATCCACGATTTCCGAGCAGGATCACATTACAGAGTCATTGTAGTATTACAACAGTTTATTCAAATAGATACATCAGAGTAAAATATAGCGGAAGTCTTACAATAACTTAGTTTACAAAACATTTATTTCAAACCTTACAAACTAAGTTCGATTATTAATACAAACCAAAGTAGTGGAGTGGCATTATAATATAATGCAAAACACACAAATATAGCTGCCCCTCGCCTAAGGGCCACACATATACTTATCGTCATCATGATCGAACAACAAATGCGCAAGACGATCCAAAACAGATCTGCTCATGAGCCTCACCGCAACAAGGGTCAATCGAACCACGAGTACAAAAGTACTCAACAAGACTTAACCGAAATAAAATTGAGAAGACTCAGAATGCAAAGCTATGGGATTCAAGGTATGGCTTTAGCAACAATCAAGTTCTTTTTGCAAAAAGCTTTTTAACAAAATTCTTTATATCAACATTTAAAATTCCACAAGATCATATACAAAGTCGACACGATCCGTATTGAGATCATGAAACTTCATATCCAACACTTTCTCAAACCTTAATCAAATTCCGGTTATTAAACTACGATGATGATCGAGAAGTGAGTCTCCATAACCGAGGAGCAACGACGATTCGAACCGATTATAACCCAAATGGGAATTCCAGACCACACGACATATGCAGGTCCCCGACCTACATATATCAACCTACCCTCGGATCCTCTACACAAGAACGGGTCCGCGCCACCCGAGAATACAAGACTCCACCAATCCAAATTACATTGCCACGTGGGTACACGCTATTCCCGCCATCTCTCCACTCCCAAGGTCGCGAGTAGCCATTCTCGTAATAGAATAGCCAAGTTAAGACTTACCGGAGTATGCGGTTAGTACTACAAAGTCTCACCTCACACAGGTCAACAACGGTACGGACCTTAATCGACACAAAGTGGAAGAACCCGCTCACAAGACATTACCGTGTCTTGTGGCTCACACACACCGAGTCCGCCCGGTCTAGATTTATTACTCCACCGATTCATATCTCATGATAACATAAATAGCCAAAGATTCATTTAAAACTTGCAGGTGACAGGTAATCACCCGACTTTCATCGTTCTAAGCATAGCTAAGCATAACTAGGCATATACGATTTTAAGCCGGTAACAAGGTAGTTATGGAAAACATGGTTGGTAATGCACCAATTAGGTTTTCACTTGACTCCTAATCACTTAATGCAATAAAGAAAAGCAAAAGCAAAATAACTTTGTAAAACACAAGGTAGGTTTAAATGCATCCGGGCTTGCACGGGATCCGACACAATTCGATTCGGATAGCTTGCACCGTCTTGGTGACATTTTCGGTCCTAGCACTTGCTTAGTCCTTCCATCTTCGGGATAGATCCACCAAACCCAAACTTCGAGCTCAGCTTCACATCACATCCTTCACGTGGTTCATCTAGCGTATCTAAATGAGATGCAAGATGCATGTATATGAATGTGATGAATGATAACACAAGATGCATCACATAAGCATTCAAGACAAACACAAGATTATGCAAGACATAGACACCAATAGCTATTTAACTAACATCATACAACTAACTACAGAGAGCAAGCACATCAAGCATGACACCAGTTTAACAAGGTCACAAGTATCATAACTTGACCATCAACAAGGGCATAAACCACACTTAGCAACACATGGAGTAAACAACCACAACTAGCATATGTCTATTTCGGGACTGGAAACAATAGCTTCATGTTTGGATCATAACTAGAGTTCTACAAATCCAAAAGCCATGCAACAAGACATTCTGGAAAGCTTATAAAATCTTCTACAATTCATCTTTAATCATCTTAGCTTGATTCTCAAATTAACTAAGCCAAATATATCCATTTAAAGAAACTGGTCCAGAATTGACAGAGAACAACCATTTCTGGAACCCAACTTTAAACAGGCATAACTCACAAACTACTTAGCCAAATGACACCAAATTTTAACAGTAGATAGATACATGAATTATCTACAACTTTGTTATTAACAAGTTTCTCGAAAACATCATTATCATGAGGTAATCCAAACAGTCCCAAAAACTGTCCCGAAAACGCGACAATTGCAAGAAAATAATTATTAACTTATGTTGCAAACACATAATTGGGCAAAACCAACTTTACCAACATTTCACACATGACTAAAGAACACTAGAAAGCATGGTGCTCACTTATAAATAAATTTTCTTAAAGCATTTCTTAATTTATTTAGACATCAAGGTGTATTTATGAACATATACCAAAAATGCACCATAACTTCTACAAAAATTACAGTGGATCACATATCATCTCAATAGTCTACTATACAAATTTCATACCATTTGCATAAGTATAGCTGCCTCTATGAAAAAGACAATTTGCTATTGCAAGAAATCATGTGAGAGCGAGATAAACCAAAACTCACTCATACTTCATCCAATACTCATGAAATTTTACCACACATCAACTATCACATGAGTAGCATGCCACAAAAATTTCACTTCATTTGGAGCCCTAGATATGCAGTTATGAAAATAACAAATTCAACTAGCATTAAAACCCTACTGCACAAATCTATTTTTGCAGCTAAAACTTTAAACTAAAACATGTCATACTATAGATCTACTGCATAGACAATTTCACAAGGATTCCAAAAGTCCTCATTTGCTATGTTACGAATTTCCTATGAATTACTATGAATTTTCAAAGTTCCAAATGATTTCAAAGCAAACAGGTCCAAACGGCACTATTCACATGAGTCTACGGTTCACGTAAAAGCCCTCACAAATCTCGAATTTGAAGACGAAGTCCCTGGTCGCGATTTTCGAAATGAGAGGACGCCGGAGAGACGCGATTTTCCGGCCGGTGATGCTCGTGGCGGCAATTGAAGGGGTGGTAGAGCGACGGGGTGGCGAGGCGAGCTCGAGGATGACCGCAGCTCGGCCGGAGGTGGCCCGTGATGACTGCCACCACACGAGCCCGCTGACGGCGGTGGAGCAAAGACGGCAAGCGGCGAGAGCCTCGGCGGA